GGGAAACTATATGAAGCTTCAAACTTTTAAACTGCTCTCCTCTAAAATTTGCGTTTTGGAGTTACGGGATTATACGTAGGGAGTGACGAAATGGTCCTTTAAGGAACACTTTGAAGCTATGGTTAAAAAAGGCCAAAAAGTTGTGACTGCGCTTGCGCGCATTATGCCTAATATTGAAGGATCTACTGAGAAAAGACGACGGCTCTATCTGTATGTTTTCCAGGCTGTTGTGCTGTATGGAGCGCCTGTATGGGCTGAGAAGTTGATAAAAAACAAAAAAGCAGTGATCCACTGCCGAACTGTGCAAAAGTTAATTGCAAATCGAGTAGTCAGTGGATATCGTACGATTTCTGCGGATGCTGTGCAACTTCTGGCTAGAGCCCCTCCTTTAGAGCTGTTGGCTGAGATGCGGGCTAGAGTTTTTAATAGTATTCGAGCGAATTGTACCCTGGATTATGCACAGATAAGTAGTATTGAGGCTGCCAATATGAGGGAAAAATGGTACAGACAACTTTGTGTAGACCATCTGTCTGGTAAAGCCACTAAAGATGTGATTCTTCCAGTTTTCGAGCAATGGATGTTAAGAAAGCACGGGTCCATGACGTTCTATCTCACTCAAATGGTAACGGGACATGGATGCTTCAATAGATACCTGTATAGGATCGGTAAGGTCGAATCGGAGCGCTGCTCCCATTGTAGGTTAGATGTTGACACCCTTAAACATACCTGGGAGGAATGTGGAAGCTGGCGGGAGGAGCGTGAGCTATTGAGGCTCAAACTTGAGATGGATTCGGTCACGATGAGATCTGCGGTAGCTGTCATGGTGAAGAGTCCTGAAGAATGGAATGCGGTCGTGCGCTTTGCTAATAGAATTTTATTACAAAAAGGGGAAGCGGAACGTGAACGACAAGGACAAGTAGCACTGGCAAGAAGACATAACAGGAGGAGGACGGTTGCAATTCCGTCCACTGTCAATACATAGATGATCAATTCTTACTTTAGTAAAGAATGATGCAAGGAATATGGGTCAAAGGTTGTAGGGTATATATCCCCCCCTCCCTTTTACCATTTTATACTGAATTTGGGCTGCTGGCAATGTCAATAGGGGGCTGGCAATTGCCTGCGAATGCAGCCTAAGAAAGGGATGTTTAATATTTTTGATTTTAGAAATAAAGTCAGATGAGTTTTTTATCGTGGTGTCATTTTTACCTGTGAGAGATTCTAGTTTGCTAGAAAGCGAGCTAGATCGTATGTAGGTGAGTTTATAGCGCTTACTATGGGTCTGAGGGGTATGTTGTTTTTATGGATTTTTGGTAGTCCATATAGTCTAGGTGGTACCGCGTTTCTGGGTATTACCATGTCTGGAAGATTGTTTTTCTTAATGAGATTGGTGGTAAGAGTTTTTAGTGAAGCAGTAGGGTCTTTCTTAAGTTTTTCATATGTGGAGTCTGTAATGACAATGGACATATGACTAGTTCACTATGGCATTCTATCTTGCCATAAACACATCCTCTCCTCTTTCTTACCATTCCACCCCTCTTCCACCTCACCCCTTCCACTTCAATCTAGCGCTATAAAAAGGGACACCTGACCAAGAGCATCTCAGTATCAGGCTGCTCTTCAAACCCTGATAAAGTGAGCTGTAATGTTCACGAAACGTCGGTATAAAAATGACACTAACGCGGTTCAAACCCAAAAAACCATCTTTGTATGTTAATACTACACACCGCGAAAGCATCAAATATCAAATTAAGTACCTCTACGAGGAGGGTATTCTATCTAAAGTTAATAATTTTAGCAAATACAGGTCTTCTCTATCAAAACACCTGGCAACTTTAGCTTTTCTCAAAAGGTGTCGGGACAATAACATCGTCCCAAAATTTCTTCACATAAAAAACCATTTTGGCACAAAAAAAGCAACCAACATCCTGCAAAAAGCCGGTCTTCAACTAGTGAAAGAGCGCATTTCCCATATAAAATATCAAATTTATCATATTTCTCAGAAACTATTCCATCTCCATCTGCATCTATCTGCCTGCATTAGGCCAGATCTGTGGCTTATACTAGACCGTATAA